GGGCTTCCCTGGTGGCACAGATGTCAAAGAATCTGCCTGCAGTCAGATCCTGGTCTTGTGAGGATTATTGTTTGGTTTCTGAACCGGTTGTTAGAGATAGTGATCTGACTGCCTACAAGTCTGACTCACCTTGTGGCGGGTGTCCCGGGCCGGTTACTCCAGATGGTGGGTTGGTTTCCTGGGCTGGTTGCTACAGATTCTGTGTCAGAATTCTCTTTTTATACATGGTCTGGCTATTATATGTTCCCATAGTTAGTCTCTAGTGGGGGAAGGCAGACAGAAACTTTGCTTATGCAAGACATGGAACCAACCTAAATGTCCATCAACAGAAGAATGGATACAGATGTGGTGTATATATATGCAATGGAATATTACTCAGCCATTAAAAAAGAATGAAACGATGCCATTTGCAGCAACATTGATGGACCTAGAGATTACGATACTAAGTGAAGCAAGACAAAGGAGACCTATATGATGTCACTTATACATGGAATCTAAAATATGATACACATGAATGAACTTATGTACAAGACAGAAACAGACTCACAGACCTAGAAGACAAATTTTCCAAGGGGGAAAGAGGGTGTGAAGGGGCTAGATTAAGAGTTTGGGATTCTTGTTGTTCAGTCACTAAGTTGTGTCTGACTCTTCATGACCCCATCAATTATAGCCTGCCAGGCTCCTCTGTCCATAGACTTTCCCAGACTAGAATACTGAAATGGGTTGCAATTTCCTTTTCCAACTATATAAACTTATATTAACTATCATAAAACAGATAAACCTCAAGGTTCTACTGTATAGCACGGGGAACTAGAGTCAGTGTCCTGTGACAAACCACAGTTGGAAAAGAATATGAAAGGGAGTGTGTACATATGGATAACTGAGTCACTTGGCTGTACAGCGGAAATTAACACAACATGGTATATCAACTATACTTCCATCAAATAAGTTAAACAGAAAAGAAGCTGTCTTTACAATAAATAAACGACACGGTATCAGGGGAAGTCGTGGGGTAACCAGGGGAAACTTCTTGGAACATCAGTGCGTTAACAACATGTCTGATAAGAAGGATGAGCCTTGAGAGAACGGGAGGGAAGGAGCCAGAGGGAGACACAGTCCAGCTGCATCAGAAAGTCTGGCAAATTCAAGTCGGCACAAATCTCCCCAGACTGGAAGATAGAGCAGTGGGTAGGGGAGGGAGTTGCCTGCAAGGAGCTCAAGCAGAGAGGTGAGGCTGTCGCAGAAGCTGCCAGGAGGCTGGAGCCAGGGCTTACAGAAGAGTACCGGGTAGGAGGTGGAAGGTCCCAAGGGAGCGGTTGCCTTTGAAATGGGCAATTGCCGAGAAGCTCTCAACCTCTGTGTTGGGGTTGGGCACTGTGAGGACAGGCGTGAGTGTTGTCAGCATGGGAAGCGACAAGAGCCAGGTCACCGATGAGTGTGAGGAGGAGGGGGTGGGTTGCAGGGACTGAAAGCAGAGGTGAGACACGGGGTGGAGGTTCTGTCTGGCCGTGCTGAGCCACGGAGACCCACGCCTCCTCGTTGAAAGGCAGCCAGCAGGTTCACTTAGATTAGATTTAGCAGCTGCATCTAAACCCAGACCTAAGCCGGAAAGACCTCTAGGTGAAGAGACGGCAGTCTGAAGACAGCCAACCCCACAGCACCCAGGGGCTCCCCACATAAGGCTCACCCAGGACGCAGCCCACCCAGGGCTCTCCTGTTGGAGAGGCTTTGCCTCCCTCTCTCCTGTGGGTGGCATGCCCCTAACCACTTCCCATTTGGCACTGCCCAAGTCGAATTGATTTTTGCTCAAAAAACTCAACATTTTTGATATGGTTCAGTTTATCTTTTTAATGAGCATGTGCTTAGTCATTCAGTCATGTCTGACTCTTTGCGACCCCATGGACTTCAGCACGCCAGGTTTCCTTGTTCATCTACCAACTCCCAGAGCTTCCTCAAACTCATGTGCACCGATCGGTGATGCCATCCAACCATCTCATCTTCTGTCGTCCCCTTCTCCTCCTGCCTTCGATCTTTCCCAGCATCACAGTCTTTTCCAATGAGTCAGTTCTTCGAATCAGGTGGCCAAAGTATTGGAGCTTCAGCTTCAGCATCAGTCCTTCCAATGAATATTTAGGACTGATTTCCTTTAGGATGGACTGGTTGGATCTCCTTGCAGTCCAAGGGACTCCCAAGAGTCTTCTCCAACACCACAGTTCAAAAGCATCAATTCTTCGGTGCTCAGCTTTCTTTATAGTCCAACTGTCACATCCATACATGACTACTGGAAAAACCAGAGCTTTGACAAGACAGACCTTTGTTGGCAAAATAATGTCTCTGCTTTTTAATATGCTGTCTAGGCTGGTCATAGCTTTTCTTCCAAAGAAAAAGCATCTTTTAATTTCATGGCTGCAGTCACCATCGGCAGTGATTTGGGAGCCCAAGAAGATAAAAAGTCCCTTACCCTTTCCATTGTTTCCTCACCTATTTGGCACGAAGTGAGGGGACCAGATGCCATGATCTCAGTTTTTTTAATGTTGAGTTTTAAGCCAGGTTTTCCACTCTCCCCTTTCACCTTCATCAAGAGGCTCTTCAGTTCCTCTTCACTTCCTGTCGTAAGGGTGATGTCTTCTGCACACATGTGGACATTGTCCCTAGATCCCAGATTAAGGTGTGTCCATGCTGATTCTCTGTGACCCCATGGACTGTAGCCCTCCGGGGCCCTCTGTCCATGGGATTGTCCAGACAAAATACTGGAATGGGTTGCCATTTCCTCCTCCAGAAAATCTTCCCAACCCAGGAATCGAACTCACATCTTTTGTGTCTCCTGCATTGCCAGCGAATTCTCTACCACTGAGCCATCGGAGCACCACAGAATATAAGCTGAGGAAGGTGGAACGTGAGGACCTGAAAGGAGTTGTGGGTCGTGGCAAGGCTGTAGGGTCAGAGTCTGCGTGGGGGGTCGTGGGGCTGGAGCCTCGCTGGAGTAAGGGAGCAGCTGGAGTGGGAAGAGGATGATACCCCTCCTGGGAGAGGGGCAAGGTTTGGCTGCAGTTTTCTAGATGTCAGAACACAAAGCAGGGGGAGACCCTGACTCCGAGATTGGTTTTGGAGGGAGGAGCCCAGGTCACCAGCTCAGGGGCAAGGACTGAGGCAGGGGGATCAGAGTTTGTGAAAGTTAGGTGTGAGTTCCTTTGAACAGAGGCCGTGATTCAGAGGCTAGGAGTCCCAGGACCTCTCAAAGGATGATTGACCTGCCCCCAGGTCTCTCCATGGCTCGGCGACCTCTGCAGTGTTGGCTAACACTGCCTTTTAAATGTATTTTATTTTTGGAGTATAACTGCTTTACACTGTTGCGTTAGTTTCTGCTGTTTAGCAAAGTGAATCAGCTATCTGTATTCATACATCCCCTCCTACTCACGCCTCTCTCTCACCCCTCGAGGTCATCACAGCGCGGAGGCCCTGTGTTGTACATCACCTTGCTGCTAGTTGCCTGTTTCACACATGGTAGGGTATATATACCGCACTCTCCACAGCTGACTTGGGCTTTCCTCATAGCACAGTCGGTAAAGAATCCACCTGCAATGCAGGAGACCCTGGTTTCATTCCTGAGTCAGGAAGATCCCCTGGAGAAGGGAAAGTCTCCCCACTCCAGCAGTCTGGCCTGGAGAATTCCATGGGCCGTATAGTCCAAGGGGTTGCAAAGAGTTGGACACAACTGAGCGACTTTCACTTTCATAGGGCATATATGATGCTGAAGCTCCAGTACTCTGACCACCTGATGCAAGGAACTGACTCATTGGAAAAGACTGATGCTGGGAAAGAGGATGAGATGGTTGGATGGCATCACAGACTCAATGGACATGAGTTTAAGCAAACTCTGGGAGATAGTAGATGGACAGAGGAGCCTAGCACGCTGCCCTCCATGGGGTCGCAAAGGGTTGGACATGACTTGGCGACTGAACAAGTGTATATATGTCAGTGCTATTCTCCCGATTGAGCCAACCCTCCCCCTTCTTTCCCTGTGACAAGTCCATTCTCTACGTCTGCATCTCCATTCCTGCCCAGCAAGCAGTCTGCTTTTTAAAGTGCATCTGAAACCCTGGGGCACCCCCAGCTCTTCTAGTGGGGTGACATGAAGCAGACCCTTGGAGAGGGCCCAGGCCAGGCACTGCTGACTGTCCACACGGGGCCACCGGACCTTAGAGGTTCCAGCCAGGCAAACACTGCTACGATTCTGAGACGAGGGCTTCTCCTTAAAAATGTGTGCTACCTGTTCAACCGAAGGCAACAGTATGACAGCTGTCCTTGGAGAGCGGCCCACAGACTGGGGCCCAGTAAGAGTTAGCTGGCAGCGTCCCCATCTGTTCCCAAGGAGGAGGAACCGCCTGCTGTCCTGATTACTGTTTCGTAAGTCAGGGGCTTTAGGGAGGATGTGACTTTTGTCATGGGAAGAGCTGTGGGTTTGGGAGCAAGGAGGGCAGGGGTGTGCGCACCTCCCATCACTCCCCCATCACCCACCGTCCTCGCTGGTCTTTACAAGGCAATGCCTGAGCCACAGGTGCTTCCCTGTTGGCTAAAGAATCTGCCTCCAGTGCAGGAAGACATAGGTTCAATTCCTGGGTGGGGAAGATCCCCTGGAGAAGGAGATGGCAACCCACTCCCGTATTCTTGCCTGGAGAAGTCCATGGACAGGGAGGCCTGGCAGGCTACAGTCCATGGGATCGCAGAGTCAGACACAACTTACATCAATGCCTGAGCCACAGGTGCTTCCCTGTTGGCTAAAGAATCTGCCTCCAGTGCAGGAAGACATAGGTTCAATTCCTGGGTGGGGAAGGTCCCCTGGAGAAGGAGATGGCAACCCACTCCCGTATTCTTGCCTGGAGAAGTCCATGGACAGGGAGGCCTGGCAGGCTACAGTCCATGGGATCGCAGAGTCAGACACAACTTACATCTATGCCTGAGCCATGGAATCATACCTTCCTTGGCAGCCAAGTGCAGACCTAGGGTTGCAGAAGCTCAGACTCTTTCCACACATACAGACCGGTATCACCATGACCCTGGCTCTCACTGGATTCTGTCCTGCCTGCAGGCCTTCCTGCAAGCAGCCTCCGAGGCCTTTGTCCTGACAGAGAGCCCTCCAGAGTGAGTGAGGAGACATGACGGAGCCCAAAGATCCAGCCCAGGTCTGCCTGGCCTCGGAATGCAGAAAGGCTGCCAAGGTCCAGCCTGTACATGGTGGAGAGCTTCAGACATGGCCTGGGGACTTCCCTGGGGGTCCGATGGTTAAGAATCCGCCTTGCAATGCAGGGGCCGCTGGTGTGATTCCTGGTCTGGGAAGGTCCCACGTGCTGTGGGACAACTAACCCCATGCATTACAGCCCATGAGCCACAGCTCTTGAGCCCGTGGGCCGCAGCTACCGAAGCCAGTGAGTCTAGAGCCCACGCTCTGCCACAAGAGAAACCACCACAATGAGAAGCCCACGCACCGCAGTGAAGAGCAGCTCCCATTGCCACAGCTAGAGAAAAACTGACGCAGCAACGGTGACCCACCACCAACAAGAAAACAAAACAAAAACCCACCGCCTGGGGCTGTGGGCCAGTCACACTGTACCTTCACCCCCCACCTGTGCTTTTGGGCCAAGGTCACCCTTGGTCCTCTCTCCGGGGCCTTTTCCCTGCCCTCTCCCACTCCCCTCGCCAAGCCAGGGGGAGCCAGGCACTTCCCAGCTGGACTTTGGATTCCACCACTTGCTCTGACCTTGGCAAGTCACATACCCTTGCTGAGCCTCAGTTTCTGCATCCATAAAATGGACGTGTGCTCAGCACTGGAGGCTCAGTGTCCAGCTCACCGCAAAGCTCAGAGACGTAAGATGCCCTGAACCTGGAATTTGGTGGGAAGATGATGGAGTCTGAGCAGTCTGTGGCTCATGAGGTACCTCAGCTTTGTGTTGAACGAGAGACACCAGCTCGTTGGTGCCCCCCAATCCCCTGAGGAGTGAACCCCTGCTTGTTCGTCTCAGGAACTAGTGCAGGACGTTCATCGGGGAAAGGGGAGCACCCTCAATTCAACCCTTCTGGACATTTCCCTCTTCAAAAGATCTCTCTGCCCACGTACCTCAGGCAGAGAGACGACTGTCTGGAAACCAGGAGGTCTTGGCTGGTCTTTACACACACACCGAGGAGGCACCAGTAATTTTGCTCCCACCCGTGGGAGCGCGTTTCTGGGTGAGAGCCTGCTGACCGGCCACAGACAGATGCGCTGACTCTGGAAGTGGGCCTCAGGGTCCCTGACACTGTGGCCTCGCGGGTGAGTCTGTTCACAGGGCTCGGTGCTTTCTTATACTCTCATCAAGCGTCTGAGATCCCAGGAGGGTGAAGACCCCACTGCCCTGTCTGTGCCTGGAGGCTGACATGAAGCGAAGTCTGTCGAGGGCAGGAGCAGAGAGAGGCCGGCCCAGGAGGGCCCTGCCCTACCCCAGCGCCTTCTCCAAGGGCTTCCCGAAGCACCCCCCACCCACCCTGAGGCCCCGCTTCAGGCAGGATCAGAGGCCGTTTGGGTTTTTGCTGTGTGACTGCGGCCAGCCCCTCGGCCACTTTGGGCCACAGCCCCTCCCCATCAGGACATCCGAGGCTGGGCCTAGTGGCGCCTCACTGCCTCCCACGTGCGAGTGGCCGTTCCCAGGTTCAGGCATGGAGGGGGCCCCCATGGGCCCCAAATGTCATCCAGGAAGTGAGGCTCCAGATCTGGGACCTGTGAAGAAGGAAGGGAGGGGGTTCAGCAGGACAGACCCACTGTACCGCCCCGTGCCCTCTGGGTCAGCAAAGGCCAGGACGCCTGGACGGGGCGGCACCCAGAGGGGCAGGGTCCCGTCATCTCTTGGGGGTGCACGGGGGCTGATCAGGACCCAGGCTTCTCACAGGCCCCCTTCCCCCGGACCTGCGGTGGTTTGTAGGTGGCACACGGGTCGTAAGTACCTGGGTCAGGGCCGAGAAACAGACCCTCCCTAGGAGGGTCACCGAGATGGATGCAAGTCCACGGGAGCACCCGGAACAGTGTCCAGGGGGCAGTAAATGCTCAAGAAATGGTGACTGGTGTGACGGTCATCATTACTGCTGCTGGGTTGTTTTTCTTTTCTCAGCATTATAAGGAATCATTTTATTTTTTAACTTATTTTCATTCTCTTTAAATTTTTTTTCTATTTGTTTTTACTGGAGTATAGATGCTTCCCCAGGTGGCTCAGTGGTAAAGACTCTGCCTGCCAATGCAGGAGATGCAAGAGACTTGGGTTCGATCCCTGAGTCAAGAAGATCCCCTGGAGGAGGAAATGGCAACCTACTCCAGTGTCTTTGCTGGGAAAAATCCCATGGACAGGGGAGCCTGGCGGGCTACAGTCTGTGTGGCCACAAAGGGCCCGACACGGCTGAGTGAATGAGCAAACACGTAGCTGCTTTGCATTGTCCCCCATTAGTTTCTACTCTACAGCTAAGTGAGTCAGCTCCGCGCATACACATGTCCTATCTCTTTTGGATTTCCTTAAATCCAAAAGGTCACCACAGAGCTCTGAGGAGAGTTCCCTGTGCCGTACGGTAGGTTCTCGTTGGTTATCTACTTTATCCTTAGTAGTGTATATCTGTCAATCTCATTGCCACTACTATTAACTTGATTGTTCGTCAGGAAATTTTCTGGGAATGCAGAAATGAATGATTCATTGTCCCTGCTCTCTGGAAGCTTAGACACCAAGACATGCACATGAATAATCAGATAGGAAGTCCTATAGTAGAGAGAAATACTGATTTTAATAGTGATTTTAATAACAGCAACAATAACAGTAGCTAGTACTATCGAGAACATGCTATATGATGGCCCCTGTGCTAGGAGCTGTACCTGGATTTGGTTTCATGCTTGCAATAACTCTGTGGGGTAACAATGTCACCTTCTCTTACAGATGAGGAAATCGAGGCTTAGAGGTGGAGTAACTGGTCCAGGGCCCACAGCCAGCAGGAGGTGGAGTCAGGGCTTGAACCTGGGCAGTGAAATTCCTTCCTCAGTGAGACAAAGGGCAGCTCTGTTGGGGAGGAGGAGAGGGAGTCAGAGAGGGCTTCTGAGAGGAGGTGACCTTGATTTATTTACACATGCACATCTCAGCAACCCCGCTTCCCCCCTGGAAGCAGGGACACAGGCCAGCTGACCCACGTCTTGTCCCCAGTGCCCAGCGCAGGCCCTGGCGCAGGTCAAGGAGACTCGGTGACTTTGATGAAGGAATGCGTAAGGGGAGTTCACTCTGGCCCCAGTCGTGACCTCACTCTGAGCCTCGTTGCCAGACTTTCTTGCCCTCTAGGACAACCCGCTAGCAACCTTGCCCTGGAACACCGGGTACCAGCCCCATGGCAGGGCCAGCTCCTCCGGGACGAGGCAGAGGGTGGAGCAGCAACGTGAGGATAGGACTGTGCTGGGGGTGGCCGCTTCCCTCAGGCTGATGTTCACAATAGGAGGGTCTGGCTTGTGAAGCGAGGACCCCACATCCAGCTGCCACCCCAGCTGGTTCCAGTCCCCACAGCCTTCAGCCAAGCCCACCTCCCACAGACCCTCAGATCAGCCCTACTCCCCACCCCCACCACCATTATCACTGGCCCTTTCCTTTCCCCGTGAATCTCCGTGAATCTCTGCAAATGCTGGCCCCTAACCTTCTTCCTCTGCGTGACTACAGAGCTCACCTTGGTGCCAGCCATCAGCCCACAGGTGACAGGGGCAGGGCCTAGATTGAGGAGGGCACAGACATCTCAGAAACTGTGTGTTGAGGGGTGGGAGGACCACTGGGGCCATGTGGCTTGGAGAAAGGACCCCAAATGCTTCTGATGCACCTCACTCAGCAGGGAATCCAACTTTAAAAATTGTGACAGTCTGTTGCTGTCGTTCAGTCGCTAAGTCATCTCCAACTCTTTGCAACCTCATGAACTGCAACACGTTAGGCTTCCCTGTTCTTCCCCATCTCCCAGAGCCTGCTCACACTCATGTCACTGAGTCAGTGATGCCATGCGACCATCTCATCCTCTGTCATCCCCTCTCCTCCCACCTTCAATCTTTCCCAGCATCAGGGTCTTTTCCAATGAGTCAGCCCTTCGCATCAGGTGGCCAAAGTATTGGACCTTCAGCTTCAGCATCAGTCCTTCCAATGAATATTCAGGATTGATTTCCTTTAGGATGGATTGGTTGGATTTCCTTGCAGTCCAAGGGACTCTCAAGAGTCTTCTCCAGCACCACAGAGATGCTTGGAGGATACAAACAAAACCTTGTGCACACCAGGGCCCAGGGAAAGGAGCAGTGACCTCTGCAAGGGACTGAGCCAGACCTGCCTTTGAGTGCTTGAGTGTCTCCTGTGGAGGCATGGGGCAGCAGTGGCCTGCTGTGGGAGCAGGGTTCTGGCTGCAGCCGACCTGGTAGGTGCAGCATGTGGCTTAAGTCCTCTCGGTGGAGGTTTCCATTGGCCTCACCATGGAGCCACTGAGCAGATGACCCACAAACCGGAGAACAATTATACCGATTAAATTAAATATATTTCGCACTGCTGCAAAAGTTCTAGAGCCCACAGCGGATTCCCCAACCTGGAGATACAGCAAAGGGACCGAGAACCCCCAGGGAATTTGACTTTGAAGGCCAGTGGGATTCGATTACTGAACTTCCACAGGACTGGGAGAAACAGACTCTCGGAGGGTACAAACAAAATCTGGTGTACACTGGGACCCAGGAGATAGGAGCAGTGACCCCACACAAGACTGAGCCAGACCCGCCCGTGAGTGTCCTGGAGGCTCCGGCAGAGGCTTGGGTTGACAGTGGCCTGCCGTGGGGTCAGGGGAACTGGCTACAACAGTCCTGGCAGCCATGGCATGCTGAAGTAAGTCCTTTTGAAGGAGGTCGCCATTACCCCTCACTGGGGGAGGGGGAACACAGCCCTGCCCATCAGCAAAAAATTGGATTAAAGATTTACTGAGCATGGCCCTGCCCATCAGAACAAGACCCAGTTTTCCCCACAGCCAGTCCCTCCCATCAGGAAGCTTCCAAAAGCCTCTTTTCCTCAGCCATCAGAGGGCAGACAGAATGAAAACCACAGTCTGTACATGACTACTAGGCAAACCGTGGCTTGGATTATATAGATCATTGTTGGCAAAATGATGTCTCTGCTTTTCAGCATGCCATCCAGGTTTGCCATGGCTTTCCTTCCAAGGGCAGTCTGGTGAACTGGAACGTGTGTTTCTAAGTGGAGGTTGGCCCACAGATACACTTAATTTTACTTTTAAAAAGCCCTCATATTTATTTAAAGTGATCTGAGGGCATTATTGATCCTGGCAACAGGTTCCCCTTAAAGGAACTCCAAGGAGAGCTGCAGAGGAAAGGGAGGGGCAAGGCCAGCCTTGTGAACACATGCCTGCTTCTAGAACATGCAACAAGGAGGCGTGCCACTGCAGACACGGAGTAACTCTAAATGCTGCTTGCGGCGGCTGTGGACTTTGGAGGGAGGAAGGCCTTCCCAGATGGGCCTTTGGAACAGCCGGCCCGCTTTCTGGAAGAAAAGGCAGCTGAGTGGAACCAGAAGCACTTGGACTATCCCAGTTGGCAGGGCACGGAGGTGGAGGATGCAGTCATCTGAGACACCAGGATGCAGGTAGCTGCCCCCACGTGAAGAGCCTCGGGTAACAAGACCTGCTAGGGTGGAGTTTCTGGCAGGACTCTGTCGCTAGAAACAGCCCCGAGACAGGGCGGGCCTGCCCGGTTACCCAGAGACTCCGGGGGTGGGGGACAGGAGCTACTGGCACGGCCTCCTCCTTCGTGCCTGAGATTTTAAACTTGCAGGAGGACAGAGCAGGGCTGGGGCTTGCTGGGTCCCTCAGGCAAGGTGGGACCAGTCGGATTGGCGCCGATATCCGGGTGGTCTCAGGGCCCAGTGGTCATCGCCAGATGCGTTTACCTCTTCAAAGCAGGAGCCAAAGTTTGGGGCCATGAGGAGCACGCGGAGCAAGGACTCTTGACCTCGGCCAAGAATTTGGAACAACACAGAAGCTAAAGGTCACTCCCCAAGTAATTCACCAGGATGGTGGGTGAGGACGGGGCAGACCCACTGCGGGGCTCCAGTAGCAGCAGACTCTGGAGACAGGGTGGCTGGGCTGGGGAGTGAAGAGGCGCAATCCAGGTGGAGAAGGGAGGGCTGGGGGGCGTGGTGACCAGCCTCCACCGTTCCGTGGATGTGTTTCTCAGGGTGACTGCCTCCGGGGGACCCCGGGCAGCCACACCCGCGGTTTGCAGGATCCAATTCCTGAAGCCCAGATACACAGACACTCAACCTGCTGTCCAGGCCTGTGGCTGCCCTGTCCCCTCTCCAGCTCACACGGGCTGCACTGGAGTCTCACCCTCCCTTCTCCTCCCTGCCCCAGGGCCTTTGCTCTTATTCTTGCTTCTGTGTCTGCCTCCTTTCCCTACCTGGGAAACCCTCACTCTTGGCCTCTAAGCCCCGGGACGGCTGGCCTGTGACCCCCCACCCTTCTAAACCCACACTGGCTGCCCTAGCTGCCGCCCCCCGCCCCGGCCCACCTCGACACTCCTCCAGTCCGTCACTCCTGCATATGTGTTTTCCTCCATGGATGGTGGGCTCCCTGGGGGCAGCCACCTGCTCGTGCCTCTCAGAGACACCAGGGGTCTGGGAGGCAGTGCATGCTGGGAGATACCAGTTTCTACTTTGGATTCTAGACCCGCACTCCCTTATATGATTGCCATCAGCCACTTGTGCTTCTGAGCACTTAAAATACAGCTAGTGCAAAGCAGTGGAAACTATTTCCTCGTTAAGCATCCCTTTGTTGCTTTGGTAGGATTGTATTTTACTGAAAATTTAATATCCTAATGGAGTTTTTTTTTTAATAGAAAAAAGTTTAGAAAGCTTAGGGAAAGAAAGAAAAGAATCTCTTATGCATACTTGTTTATATTGATTGCAAGTTGAAGTGATCATAGTTTAGATATATTGTTAAATAAAATACATTATTAAAGCAATCTTTCCTCTTTATTTTTACTTTTTCAACGTGGCCAGAAAATTAGAAGTAACATAGCAGACTTGTATTATATTTTTTTTGGACCATAATGTTCTTGACTTTGTGTGTGTTAGTCACTTGGTTGTGTCCAGCTCTTTGCAACCCTGTGGACTGTAGCCCAACAGGCTTCTCCGTCCATGGGATTCTCCAGGCAAGAATACTGGAGTGGGTAGCCATTCCCTTCTCCAGGGGATCTTTCTGACCCAGGGATTGAATCTGGGTCTCCTGCATTGCAGGCAGATTCTTTACCATCTGAGCCACCAGGGAAGGAATTCTAGACTTTAAGGGGGAAAAAGCTGCCCAAGTAGGAGATGAAAGAGGTATGGTACAGAGCAGTCTTCCTAACAAGGATCTGGCATTTAAATGACTGGAAACTGCCTGTGAAATATCAATATGATAAGGTTTGCCAAAAGGCTAATGAGACCCTGGGCCACAGTAACAGAAGCAGAGTGTCCGTAATGAAGGAGGTGAAAGTCAGCCCTGTGGCTGTCCCAGGAGTAGGAGTTTCTGTGCTGGGTCCTGCATCTTGGAGGGGCACTGACCACCTGGAACAGGCTCAGGAGACCCACCCAGACAGGGACTGAGACACCAGGTACCTGGGTGCCTGACTAGGCAAGGCTGTCCTCAGGCAGAGGGAGTGTGACTCTGTTCTGGGGAGGTGGTGCTAATAGATCTTTCTTCTGAGAAAGAAGGTTCCATTACCAACCAGGAAGATCCCCATCAGCAGAGGTGTTCAGGCAAGGCTGGATGACCACTGGGATAATGTTAAGGGGATTTGAGCATGGACTGGGTCCCTAGATCTCAGAGTCCTTAGGGATTTTTGGACAGAGCTTCTCCAGGGCCCAGCTCAGCTATGCCTGTGTGCATGTGTGTGTGTGTGTGTGTGTGTGTGTGTGTGTGTGTGTGTGGTTGTGGGTGGTCCTGGGCTTTGTTTGATGTGGTCAGATTCCTCCCCAAGGACCAAAATCAGCTGGGGCCTCTGACTGACCCCCAGGTGGAGCCCATTCTAGAAACAGCCTTGTGTTGCTTGCCACCAGGCCAGGTAAGTTAGTTCAGGACAGACAGTGCGAACACTCAGCCCACAGTCTCTAAATTGCGGATGCTGCTAAAGCAGACTTCCCAAAGCAGCTCAGTTCCCAAGCCAGACAGAAGGACAACGAGCCCAAGAAAGTCAGAGTCCAACCCCAGAGAGCAGGGCCTACAGAGGGCATCACTGGTTCATGCATAAGACACATCCGGATGGAACTCTTGTTATGGACATTTTCAAATACAGACCCCAGGGGAGTCCACAACCATACCAGCCTGAATGTGCTTGATTGTGTCTGATCTTGGAAGCTCAGCAGGGTCAGGCCTGGTTAGTACTTAGATGGGAGACCCAAGTGGAGAGGTCAGTACCACAGGCCTCACCTGGCTGCATCTGTGAGTCAGCCACATGCCCTGATGGAGCTGCGTCTGGGAGCAGGTTAGGGGAGCCGAGTTCCATTTATAGAAGCCAGGCTCTGTTCTGTTCGCGAGATGTTAAACAACTGTGAGGAAGTGAGGCGTGAAATCCCGCTGGTGTGGCCAGCATCTTGCTGTGTGCGGGCTGGGGCGTGTCATTCTCTGGGTCTCACCTGCCTCAGCTGGAATTGGGGGGTCAGCCTAGATGTTTTCCAGACCCCAGAGACATCCCGGACCTGAATTCATCACCTGCCCCCAAACCCACTCTGTCCCCCAGATCCCTAGCTCAGCCCATGGTACTGCTGTCCCCCCAGGAACCCAGAGCAGAAACCTGGATGCTCCAGGCTGCTCCCTCTCTTTCACCTCCAGTCTCTCCAGCCATGGGCCCTGCTCCTTCTCCCTCCTGACTGTCTTCTGCTGTGGTCCTCTTAATCCCAGTCCCCCCACCATCATCATCCCTGCTGCCTACTGCGCCAGTCCCAGTCATCGACAAACCAGAAAGACAACCTTCTGAATAAGAGTAAATATTTGTAAATGACATAACTGATAAGGGACTAATATCAAACATATGTAAACAGCTCATCCAACTCAATATCAAAAAAAATTCTAAAACAGGCAGAAGACCTGAATAGACATTTTTCCAGAGAAGACGTACAGAGGGCCAGCAGGCACATGTAAAGATGCTCAACAGTGTTAATCATCAGAGAAATGCCAATCAAAACCACACTGAGATATCACCTCACACATGTCAGAATGACCATAGTCAAAAACAACAACAGCAACACACAAATAACCAATGTTGGTGAGGATGTGAAGAAAAGGGAACCCTTGAACACTGTTGGTGAGAAAGTATTCTGGTGCAACAGCTATGGAAAACAGGATGGAGGTTTTCACATGCACACACACAAAACAGAACTGCCATATGACCCAATAATTCCATTCTTTGATATATATCCCCCTAACCCAAAAACTCTAATTGGAAAAGATACATACACCCCAATGTTCCTAGCAGGATTATTTATAATTGCCAAGATTTGGAAGCAATTGAAGTGTCCATCAACAGATGAATGGGTAAGGAAGATGTGGTACATATATTTCTCAGCCATAAAAAGGAATGAAATTTTGCCATTTGTAGTCACATGGATGGACTTGGAGGGCATTATGCTAAGTGAAATAAGTCAGACGGGGAAAGACAAATGCTGTATGATATCACTTACATGTGGAATCTAAAAACTACAGTAAACCAGAGAATATATCAAAGAATAAGCAGACACAGATGTAGAGAGCAAACTGGTGGTTGCCAGTGGGGAGAGGGGAAGGAGAAGGGACAAGGCAGGGCTAGGGGTTAAGAGCTACGAACTACTATATATAAAATAAGTAAGCTAGAAGGATATATCCTATAGCCCAGGGAGTATAGCCAATATTTCATAATAACTATAAGTGGAGTATCATACTTGTGCTCACTTGCTAACCTTGAAAACTTGTGAATCACCCCACTGTACACCTATCATTTATGTAGTATTGAAAATTAACTATATCTCAAAGAAAGCACAGAAAAATTGGAAGCAGCTTTTGAGAGCAGGGAGGGCTAGTGGAAGGCACATGTTAAGGACAGGAGAGGGGCTGGGAGCCTCCCGCTGCTCGGGGCCAGCTCACAGGTCAGCTGGCGGCCATGTCTTTTCCAAGGCTTCCTCCAACATCTGTCTGGCCAGTGGCTCCCTTGGGGGCACCTCTGCTATGTCCTCACTGCCCTCACACCCCTGTGGGACCATGTCAGCTGATGAGAGCACGACCAGGCTCCCCTTGCCCCCTGGCCCCCAGGGGCAAGCTGCCTTCTGCAGACGATACATTCCTTTAAGGCCTGAGGGATGCAGTCCTTTAATCCCGCCACCCCATCCTTTCCAGGACTGCCTGCTGGCACTCAGGCCCGGGTGCCAGGTCTGCTGAGAGGACTTGCTGCAGAGTTCTTTCTCGGCCCCCCACCTTTTCTTACCTTCCATGTGGCTTCTAATCCGGGGCCCCCGTCTGTCTGTACGGGCTGAACATGCATGCCAGGCCCTCTGTCCATCAGGGATGGGAAGGCCCGGGGTCGGGCAGAGCAGGCTAGGGCGGCGTCTTGCTGCTCCCTGGCACCCCTGAAGACCTGGAGATCCGCACAGACGCCACACACTGGACACGTGCCCAGCGGCGTCCCAGCCTGCCCTCTTCCCCTGCTTCCATGGGGGCTCCTCCAGAATTGGGGGCGAGCCAGCCGCATTTCTGCTGGCTGACACTTGGCCTGGGGAAGCGCCAGAGAGCGCCTGTCATTGCCGGAACTACTCCCTGGGGGAGGCGATCGGGCTCCCCATCACGTTGTGCTGGGCTCAGCACCAGGAAGGAGGGGTTCGGCTCCAGATGCGGTGCCCAGCATGGGATCGGCAAAGCGGGGACCGCCTAGCTCTGCCAAGGTGGGGAGGAGGGGTAAGGCCGAGCTGGCGTCCAGACTGGCACCTGCCCTGCCCAGCACCTGCAGGGCAGCTTCACTGCCCCGGGAATCCTAACCTTCTTCCTCTTCCTGTGAACATGACCTATTCAGGTGGCAGGTCAAGCATCCCGTCCACCTTCTCTGAGCCGCACTTCCTCCAGGCACCGATGGCGACGTGGCCCCTCTCTTAAGGGGCTCACCGTCCCTGACAGCATGCAGCATGCGTCTCGTGATTAAAATAATCACACGATGGCAACAGTGGATTACATGCTGAGCACGTGTGCGGAGTGACACCTCTCCTGCTCTGATTCACGCAACCCCCACCGCAGTCCTACTGCACTGGCGGGGGTTTAGCGGACTCATTGGAGAAGCTCCTGACGCTGGAAAAGATTCAGGGCAGGAGGAGAAGGGGGCGACAGAGGAGGCGATGGTTGGATGGCATCACCAACTCAATGGACATGAGTCTGAGCAAACTCGGGGAGATAGTGAAGGACAGGGAAGCCCGGCGTGCTGTAGTCCATGGGGTCCCAGTCTGACACAACCGATCAAGTGAACAACAACAGTGAGTGAGGAGACTGAGATAAGGATCAGCTAAATTATCCAAGGTCACCAGCCAAGAAGCGCTCAGGGCAGAACTGGAATCCAGGCAGTGTGAATCATCGTCAAGCCAGCCCGGGTGGACTGCTGAAAAAAAGCACTTTGGGGTGTATTTATTGGTCTCTGCATTCTCTCCACAGGTCTGTATGAATCTCAGTTAACCCATACTCCTAGGGAAAGGGGGCCGTTCTCCCATGTTCTAATTCTTTAAAGGTGATTAATGCATACCCAGGATAGAAGGAGAGAGCAGGAACGTGTGTCTCCCCTGACAAATCCCTCCATCTCTGCTCCCCAGGAGCATCAGCATTATAGTTCTTTGGGGGTCTTCCCAGACATATTTTACCCTTATATGCTCATGTGTTTATATTCTGTATAATTCTCCTTGAAAAAAAAAAAAAGAAACCACCTGGATTTCCCTGGTGGTCCAGTAGTTAAGGGGAAATGATTTCGATCCCTGGTCTGGGAAGATTCCATATGCCAGAGCAACTCAGCTTGCATGCCCCAGCTACTGAAGCTTGCACGCTCTAGAGCCTGCGTGTCACGACCTCTGAGCCCTCGCTCCAAAGTCCATGCCTGGCAACGACAGAAGTCTCCACTCGCTGCAGCTAGAGAAAGCCTGCGGGCAGCAACCCACCCAGCGTAAAAAAGGAAAAAAGAGGAGAGAGCAGGATCCAGGCAGTGGAACCCGACGCACACTGGGGTACCCTGCCAGCGTGCTTCCTCTTGGGGTGCGCCTTCGTTGCTTCACGTACCTGTGCTCCTCTCTCAAGCCGGAGACGCTCTGATGCTGGTGTTTGCCTCTGGACGAGTTCGGTTCCTTCTTGGGCCCCCTTTTGGGTCGTGGTGCGTCTTTTGAAATCTTTCCCTCTATGGTGTGAAATCTTTCCCTCCATGGTGTGAGTTGTTCTCTGCCGTGTGTACGTGCGTGTTCCTTCTGACCTGCCTGCCAGGAGTGGGGTGGGGGGGGTTCAGCCATCGTGGCAGGATCCGGAAGCACGTGGGAGTGTTCTGTCTTGGAAGGGTTGGGCTGACACCTGCGTGACGTTTGTGAGCCACCTTGGAGACTGAGGGAGGCAGTGGGAGGCAGCTGCAGGTGACAGGGTGAGAGGCGCTGAAGCGTGGCCTTCCGGGCATGGGGGAGGGAAGAGGTGAGATGCTTAGGGAACCCAGCGAGGCGGCGGAGAGGATGAGGAGTGAAATGATAGGGGAGATTGCTCTAGGGGATGGAAAATTCGAGGCTGGGGAAGCATCTCCAAAAGAGATGGGGTGGGGATTTTCCTGTGGTCAAGGGGTTAAGACAATATGCTTCCACTGCAGGGGTTGCAGATTCAAATCCTAGCTCGGGGGGTGGGGTGGGGTGGGGGTAGGGCGCAGATTCAAATCCTGGCTGGGAACCGAAGATCCCACATGCCATGCGGCATAGCCAAAAATAAAAAGAGAGAGATGGAGGTGGGCTGAGCGAGGGCGCCTCCTCCAGGGAGACAGGTGGGGAAAGGACCTGGGTGATGACCTGGGGCCAGGAGAAGGGCACGCCTGTCTGGAGGTGGGGAGGCTCACTTTGCCTGGTCGTGTGCAGGGAACACGCACGTGCCCCCAGCCGCCCCACCCGGCAGCCTGTTCATTGGGAGCTGGCTGGGCATCTGGCAGGGCACAAGGGCAGGGGCTTTCAGTTGCCCACTTTTGGGGGGATGCCTTTCCCAGTGGTCTATGCTGCCCCCCCAGTGGGCTCTGCTCGCCCCTCCCCCCACCGCATCGCCCCAGCCCACAAAGGTGGCCCGGCCGAAGCCTCCCTTCTTACCAGCAGGCCACCCCTGGTCTTGGCGGACGGTGAGTCTGCAGAGCTCTGTCCTGGCCCTTCTTCCTCCCGCACCCCGAAGGCCTCCTGAGCCCAGCTCCCTGACCACAGGGAGGGGGTGGCGGTGGCAGAGACCCCAGCCCAGTCACCATCTTTCATACACGTGCATCTTTTGCAAAACGCTTGCCATTTGGAGGCAGCACTGCTCTTCCCTTTTCACAGGGACAGAGATAAGCTCACAGAGGGTGGGGATGCGCTTCAGCCCTGCTGGGCCCAGATTCCTGCCCCCCCCCCGTACCCCCACCCCTACGAGGGAGGCTGGAGCCTTGGAGAGGCCCAGGAAGCCAGGCCCAGCTGCCCAGACACCTCCCTGCTCCCCTTCCCGGAGGCGGAGGCTTGGGCCCTTGGATCCCAGAGGGGCACGCCTGTGGGGGGAGGGAGGCCTGACTCTCATCTGTTCCCACACAGCCTGGGCCCAGCTGCTAACAGGTTACTTCCTGCCCGGACCCCTGCCCGGCCTTGCGCACCCACTAGAGCCCCACATGCCTCACCAGCCTCATCTGGAAGCTCTTCCTTCCAGTCCATCCTAAGAGCCCCTCTCCGAGTCCCAGGCACACCCCGAGCTCTCCCACCTCTGTGCTTTTGCTCTAGAATGCCCTGATTGAATCTCTCTACCTCTCTCCCTCCCTCCCTGCTCCTCCCTTCCAGGCTCCGCCCAAACCCCTCCTCCAAGCAGCCTTCCCTGATTGGTCCCCTTTCAGGGGTGAACACAGAGAGGGAAGAGAAGCTTGTAGGGAAAAGGGCACTGGCTCTGGGCCCGCCTGGGCTTCCCCAAGAGACCCCAAACTGGAGTGGCTCAGTGTTCACACCTCTGTTTCTGTTTTTGCTTCACTATGCAGCCTGCCGGATCTTAGTTCCCGGGCCAGGAATTGAACCCTGATCCCTCAGCAGTTAGAGTGCAGGGTCCTAAACACTGGACTTCCAGAGAAGTCTTCCGTAAGTCCTTTGTGGATGGAGGTGAACTAAAGAGATGAGAAAAGGAAGGAAGATCGGCTTGGTGTTTAGACCTGTAAGACAGTTCCTGATCCCTCAGAGCTCCAGCTGTCATTTTGGGGGGGGGGGGGGTGTCCCGGGCTGAGGGGCCCCTTTGTCCCATCTTGCATGGAGGCAGGGGCAGGTCGTGGCTCCTGGCCTCTCCCCAGGGCTTGGGCTGGGGCATGGAACTCAGGTCAGTGCCCTGCACCTGGTGCCCTAGGAGTGGGCTGGGGTGGGGATGCGAGCAAAGGCTGAAGCTCTGAGTCACCACATTCAGAAATCCTCCCCACCTCAGGGCCGTCCAGTGGAGAGCCACTAACCCGGACAGTCCCAGGGCCCCCGTGGCACCTCGCTATACGGAGACTGTCCTGTTAGCAGGTCACCCCCAGGGCTGCACACTCCCCTTTCTGGGGCCGGGCCTTGGTGACACTGAAGAGTTGGCCCCTCTTCCCTGGCAGAACTGAGGCAGCATTTCGGGAGCAGGCAGGTCTGGAGGTCCAGCAACCTGGTCCTGGCAGGACCCTAACCCGCTGTGTGACTCAAGCAAGTCCTTTGGCGTCTCTGAGCTCCAGTCCCTTCATCTGTGAAAAGGGGATAAATAACCCCACTTCATGAAATCAGACGGGGGCTGCCTAGGAAGGAATTTGTGCCTTGCCCCAGAAAGCGGGACCTCCATCCTTGGTCTCCTGTTGGACGTTGTGTCCTGAAGGAGGCCTGGGGGCCATCCCAGCCCCTCGCCATCCCCCAGGGACCTCTGCTGGGTCTCTGCCGGTCTCTCTGCCCTGAACATACTGATGGCGGGGCCTGTGGACAGCTCTGCCAGCCTCTCAAGTCCCATCTGTCCGGAATAGCTCCGACTCCCAATGTCTCACGGGCAAAGCCTTGTCAGCGCTGATGGCCTGAAGTCTTTTGATAAATACTGCATGGAAATCATTCTCCTGGATTTCTTCAAGAGGGACTTGGATGGACTCTCTGATCCCAACGCCCACCTACCTTGGAGCTGGACTCACCCGTGTTGCCCCTGGACTTAGTCAGGACCTACTGCGTCCAGCCTCTGTGTTGGGCAGAAGGGAGCTGGCGGAGGCCCTGAACCTGGGTCCACACCATGTGAGCCTGGTTTGGAGGTAAATGGATGACTTTGCACACACAGGGACAAGCGTTTTCCAGTACTTGTCATGACGGATCCTCTGCTCACCTTTTCCCAAGTGTTGCTGAATTCAGGGCAGCTCTCGGTGGTTCGGGATTTTCTGCATCAGTGGATGCTGAAAGGTCAATTGACAGGTGACTCTACAGGTGTGCTTGTCTGTGAAGTGACACTCTCATTCCGGAAAAGGTTGGAGGCTATGATGTAATGATTTCCCCAATTCACAGGTAGGAAGAGAGAGGCAGAGAGAGGCAATTACTTGTCTCAAGCCCCAGTGAGAGTCCACTCCAGAACCCACATGGGCGGGTGGCCGCTTCTCACCTCTGGGTCTTGGGTCCTGGGTAAAATGCTCTTGGAAGATCCTGGCGCAACCCCAGGGACCGGATGCAACAGTCAGGATGGAGGCAGGCCTGAGGGTGGGTGGGGAACAGGTTCTGCCTGTGGCCCAGCAACCTTCCCTGCCTCCTTCTCCCCTTTTACCCATGGCCTGGACCACATGACTTACTGGCGCTTTGTGTTCACAGCCTTCCACAGCCTTCACAACTCTGCTCTCCCTGCCCCCACGCGGTCCTTCATGCCGCCAGTCAAGCAGCCCATCTTCTCCTATTTCAGGAATATGGGCAGTGAAGGAGGCAGATTTGATGCCATCTGACTCCTGTGCCTGTTTATGTCAGAAAGCCTGGCCTTCCCACCACAGGCCATTTCAACATCCCCTCCCCCCTTGGTTTGCCCCCCACACCCCTGCATGCCCAGTTTTCAAGGCTTGTAGAAATGAAGTCTGCTCCGTGAAATGCAGCCACCCAATCACAGTGCTCACTGGACGGGGTCTGTTCTGGGATCACCCCGTCTTCTTCATTGGGTGCAGACCTGGCAAGGACCTTCTGGTGCTCACGGTACCCTGAGGCCTGGCAGCCCCTTTTCACTTCCAACAGCTTGTGCCAGCCACCTCCATCATCTAAGTCCATCTGGAGGCTTGTGGTCCAGCCAGAAGTCAGACTGGTGACCCTCTCCCATTCTAGAGGATGAGATCACTCAATGCTGGGAGAAGAATACAGTAACTTATTAAAGTTACTTGTTCCCCTTTTAATGTTAAAAAGTGAAAAGAATATGCAGGTCTGAGCCTCAGGAAGGCCTGACCGATCAATATCAACCCTTATAAAAAGAGGCAGCAAGGGACTTCCTGGTGGTCCAGTGGCCAAGACTCTGAGCTCCCAATACAGGGGTCCTAGGATCAATCCCTGGTCAGGGAACTAGATCCCACATGCCACAACAAAAGATCGAAGATTCAAATACCACAACTAAGATGCTACACAAACAAATACATTTTTTTAAAATTAGTTTAAAGAGAGATCCAGAGGTTGGAGGAGTCAGGGGCAGTCCCAAGGGTGTGGGGGCAGGGAAGAGGAACTCTTATGAATCCCAGGGTGGGGGAGGCATGAGCAATGATCTTTAGATCCCTGTCCTGGACAATACATAACATTACCTGAGGCTCAGGGAGTAGCCACCCTGTGCCTTTTCCAGACCAGAGTCCCGTTCCTTCCAGTAGAGGGCAAGTTACTGAGTCCCTGTTCACTCTGCTAGCTACAAAACAGGCCAAAGAATCGGGTGACAAGGTGTTAAGGTAAGGAATATGGAAGATGGAAGCCTAGCATCTCATAATAACCATCTTACCGGATCTTATCAGTCCAGTGTCTTTATAGAACACAGAGGAGGAAGAGGAGAGGAAGTGAAATAAAAAGGCCGTCAATCTTGCAAATACCTCCTGTAATGGCCAGTCTCAGAGAGGGGATGAGTCTATTTCTTCTTTCTTGCAATCGTTCATGGGTGGACAGGGTCAGGATGACTTCCTGAACAAAGGCAGTTTGGTGCAGCATTCAGACAGAGGGGCAGGGCTCCCCAAGGCAGGCCGTTATGTATAGACACCATCCTCTAAGTGAACAAAAGGCACGGGAAGCCAAGGTCAAAGAGAGATACAGACCCAACGAAGAGTCAGATCATGTCCTTCCCTGTAACAGGCAGACTGCTTAAAGCCATCTTCAAGGCTCAGAAACCACTTCCTCACTTCCGTCTTCCCTTCTTTTTCGGGGTCTCCCTGCCCTCACCTCCCAGTTTGCCCCTGCTCTCCCAGGCAGCATTGGCCTTCTCCCCTCCCGCTCCCTCCTTTTTTCTCCTCCTTTTCCCCTCCTTTTTCTCCTCCTCATCTTTTCCTCCTTGCTCAGTTAGGGAGCCGCTGGAAGGGTCTCCTTCTTCTTCTTTTGGCCTCCTGCCTGGGACATTCAGTGCTTCCGCAACCAGCTCTCTGCAGAATCTCTAAAAAAGGCACCACTCTACCCTCAGTTAGCCTGTGATCTCTGGTGAGTCTAAAACCCCTCTCCAAACACTGATGCTGAACAGAACTCACCACTCATGTTTGAAGATAGATTCCCCCATCTCAAGTCCCCTGAGCCAGACCAGAAAGGGATAACTGTCTCCTGTCTTTTTCCTTTTGGTACGATCTCATGTTTTCTTGCAGAGGAGTTGCAAGAATTGGGCCAAAAAAAATTCTCATGTCCCTGTAACTCAGGTTCTGGGATCAGTAACATTTGGCATGTTTGCCTTCTCTCTCTAGACAATAGACATATACAAATAGATGTGGTTATAAGGTATAGAAAGAGAGTGATTTTTTTTTTTTTTTGGTAACTGCTGGAAATTAGGTTGCAGACACTGTGGCTCTTCAATCCTAAATATCTCGATGTATTCCCTAAGAACAGACTTTCTCTTATGTATCCACAGTACAGTTTCCAAAATTGCCCATGTAACATCAGTGCAGCTCTGTGACTTCATTCATGGCTCATATGTACACTTTGCCAATCGTCCCCACAAAGTCATTTAGGGCCGTTTTCCCTCCAGGCCAGATTCAAATCCAGAGCTGTGTTTTGCTCAGATTTCTCTGGTCTCCTTTAATCTGTCTGACTCTGAGTCCCCATGGAGTCCATGGAAT